AAAAAAAAAAATTAATATCAAATTAGTTTAGAGTATGTGATTCAAATAAGTTTTCACATAGGTCATTTTTTCCTAATTTGAGTAGAACATGCTGAAATCTGCTGTCACATGAAATTTGGAACACCCTGTATATTCAGCAGTATTTATGATACCATGTCAATAAGGTAATTTTTAGAAATTATAAAGTTGTATTAAATTAATATTAATTACTATAATATTCAAATCAACAAAGCACACATATTATCTTTAACCTGTTTTAGCATAACCTTACTATATTTAAGAAACTATTTATTTTAAACTGTAGGTAATTTATATTCATGAACATTAAAAAAAAAATAAAAATATTTACAATTTAGACTATTACCTATATAATTTCCAAATATTTGTGAATTTTTCAAAATTTGAACTTAAGTTGCTTTAAGAAAAAAAAAACCATGGATACGACTTGTCTTTTAAATTTTTAAATAACTTTAATAAAAATGTATAAAGAACTTTGTTTAGTAATTTGTATAATAAATTATAATTTTGAGCTAATTTATTGAGTAAACAATTATTACTTGTATCTACAATAATAGGAAAAAAACTAAAAAAAATCAAAACTGTCAAATAGCAAAAGAAAACTGTACTAAAAACTGTAACCGTGACCGTTAAGATTTGAAACAGCTTACGCACTTGCCTAGCAATTCCTTACAGTAGAAATATGGTTTTCGTTAGAAAAATATAAGTTTTTTTATCGACGGAGGACAATACTTAAACGTCATTCAAGGGTGTGAAAAAGATGTTGTTTCGGTAAAGGTATTTAAAAATTCTAAAAACCAGAATTTTAATGAATAAATTAGTTAATGGGAAAATGGGGATGCGTTTGCAAGGAATCATCTTGTATACACAATACCATATTTTATTATAATTTTTACGAATGTTTATTCTCCGATAAAAAATGACTTATTTTTACAACAATATTGGGAAATACTAAAGCAACGAAACACAAATAAATTAATTAACTATTCAATTTTTAAATAAAGAGCGTTTAATAATTATATAATGGCCTGTCTAAAAATTACATCCTTTTTCTACGTTTCGGACGTCAATCGAAACATTCAATAAACGTCAATTTGGAATAAGCATCACTTGTGAGTTTCCCACACAGACTTAAAAACATTATGTATATAGTAGGGCTTCAAATGAACCTCCGGATTATGCGAAACCTTACGTCGTTTTCTCCACTAAATCAATTTCCACGTGACATCAAAGACTCCAGTAAATATTAGTGTACAATTATTCTCGATTAGTCGGAAGTCGAGTACCTACGGGATGTTTATCGTCGTCACACACAATCGGTTGTTTTTCGGAGTATAACCGGGTATACCGCTGTCAATTATGTAACCGAGGTTTGCGTATATTACTTTAATATGCCGTGCAACATATACCACGTATCGACGAATAAAACTTCAGTTAGAAACTGACACACGAATGTTGTATGATTACTGACATTATAATTTTAATATGTACTGAAAATAATTCCCGTGTACAATAATATTACATTACCGTATAAAATACACGCCCACACACACATTACACTATTATTGTAGTTATTATTATTATTACTATTATTATTTCCGATAAAAATCAATCCATTTCATGTGTTTTTTTTTTTGTTTTTTGTTTTTGTTTTATACAGGCCGACATCACGTGCAGCAGTACGAAACAGTCCGTCGGCGTAATATTTACGCGTACGAATTTTGTCACGCTCAAGTACGTGACAGATTCGTGGGGCACGCGTGTCAACGGTTTTAGATTAATTATAACCGCCTTCAAAGATCCTTGTAAGTATTTTTTTTTTTTAGAGTGAGAGGGCGAGAGAGAGAGAGAGAGAGAGTGAGAGAACGAGTGAGGGAAGGTGAGGGAGGGAGAGGGCGAGAGAGATTTTGAGCCCCTTGCACCCACGCTCCTCCACCCACTCCCCCCACATCGCCATCACACAACGCCACACTTCTCCCTCGTGTCCACCACTCGACGACCCACCCCTGAGCCGGAACCCTGTATACATAAGTGTATAAAATACCGATATCAAGCTCTGTCTCGTCGAAATTTTAGTCACGGCGTTATTTGTCACGCACACAGCACACACACGCACATAATATATATATTATATACTATATGTTATTTGTATATTGTATGATACACGTATTAATATATTATGTATATTATATATTATTTGTATTTTGTATAATATATTATGTATATTACAAAATATCAAATTCATATGCCCACTCGCTAATGACGAGATATACCATCGACACAGCCACCACCAGCACACCACCACTGTAATACTTAAATTCGAAAACCGTCGCCGCCGCCGTCGTCGTCGTCGTAGTGGTCGTCGAAGATAATTCTGTGTCTAATAAAATAATAGGCTTCGCATAATTATAGTATACATTCGACAACGCATCAAATCACGCTTCTACCACTATTTTTTTCGTTGCACCGTGTGTATTCGAAATTCACAGATATATTAATACAACGTATCATAGTGTCATGATAATAAATAAATTTTAAATATCAGAACAAAACGTTATAATATTTTCGGTTCGAGTAATATTCATTCAATTTTTTTTACTAGGGGGAATCCCCGGCAACATAGGCCATTGGTTGAGGGTAATGTCATAATGTCCTTTTATTATCTTGTTCACATATAATATATATATATATATATATTATGCACTTTTTTCGTCGTCCAAATATACAATTTTACCACAGTTTGAATTCCGATTAAAAAAAAAAAAATAATAATAAATCAAACGTTATGAAAACCGAAAAGGTCAATAATAAAATCACAACAGACTGAGCACTAATGGCATACGCTGCGGGACACCTAAATCAATATATTATTATTGTAATATTTTTTATGCGCATTACCGAAAGTTCGATAAATCCACGTTAAAAAAACGTGTTTTTTCTTCTGTTGTTCCAGTCCACAATTGCAGGGAGTTCAAATGTCAAACGATGTCGCAATGCATCTCCAACGACCTGGTGTGCGACAACATCAACCACTGTCCCGACGGTACGGACGAAGCGACGACGCCAACTTGTCAAGGTACGGCGAACGGTTAGATTTTGCAACTTTGCATTCAGGCTAGCTGTATGTAGGGTATAATATTGTTAAACTTGACGACAGAATATAATAATATATTGAAATACACGTGCGCCGGAACGGGGATTGGGGGGGGGGGAGGGCGTTTCATTCGTATTTTAACAATATTACAACAATAAAACCATTGCGGTTTATTATATTTTAACTTTTCATTTTTTTTTTCATATTTTTCCGTCGCGACAGACGATTCAATTATTATAATATTATATTATAGTCTGTGGTACCCACTCATTACACACATATATACACATAATAATATAATATGATGAAGCATTATGATATTATTATTTAATGTGCGTGTACACATTTTCAGACTCAGAGCGGAGAGAGTTATTCAAAATGATAATAATTAATAATATTTTATGTAGCTTACCATTTCATTTTTTCGGTCATTTTAAATCTGCTCAGTATAATATTATCATTATTATTACAAATAATATAATACCTCGGTGTAGGTATCTAATAATTTACTACTTACAACGACAAAATAATGAGGTTGAAAAAAAAACGGCCATGGTTTTAACTAAATCTTGATAACATTTTTGTAACCAAAGCTCCTTTCGGAATTTCTTTTCAAATGAGATTGATTGCTTTCATAAAAAGTGGCCCGCCCAATGATAGTCGGGTATCCGATACTGTTGTTTTATTTTTTTTTTCATTTATCTAAAATGCCATTTAATATTATTGTTTGAAAATGATATATCTATGCACTGTAACAGTACAAAAAAAACCAACTGCAATTAAACATCCTCTGAGAAATTTGCTCTTAATTGGGATCGTTGAATATTCCAGTTGAGTCCCATATTTTACGCTATTCGAGGTTTCAATTCAATATAATTATAATTGAATCCCTCTTTAAGCTCGTCATTATATTACGACCATAACAGGACATTATTTAAATACAAAATAACAATGTATTTCCGTCCACATTTTTCAGACTCTTGGTTTTTTTATTTTGGCATTGTTTCTTGATGTGTATCAGTATATCAAAAACCTTATTTTTCGGATTTCATTAAACATCAGCTTCTAAAACTAAACAGTTTTCTGTCACGCTAATTTTTAAACAAGTGAAGCGATCACTTAAGTAACCGATATTATATTAATATCATTACCGAGAATTCTGCGGTGCCATTGAAACACACTGTATTATTATAATGACCCCCGAAACGTCTTAGTTTCGTGTAAAATGAAAAAATCGATCGATTTGACTACTGCAGAACATTATATTGTTATTTTTATTATCATCATCGACACCCGCACGGTACCACGGTTGTGGCACTTTTCGTTAAACCTCTCACGGCCGGCCGCCGAATATTTTCCAATAATATCCATCGTTTGCCCTCTAAGGCTCTCAAAGAATACCTATGCTCGCAGGTCCTTCCTAAAATAATAATTAATACGTTCCCGGGGGACAGTAACCTTAATTTCACGACACGCCTCGTACGATTTATCATATCGTGCCACAATTTAACATTCTATTATAATTATACCGTTGCGTTGATCGTGCAAAGTCTTTATCGAATATTTTATCGTTTCGTCCACAGGTGCTTCGTCCTTAACGCTGTTGGGCATTAACATCACCATACTCGTGGTCGCCTCACTCGTCGTAGTCTCCATACTGGGCGTGTGTGTCATTGTGTTGACCGTTTACTGCATATGTTACCGGACGTCGAACGGTACGATCCCGACTTCCAGGCACAACGCCGCATTACACGACACGTCAAATCATTTTCAAAGTAAGTCCTTTTATAGTAGAATAGTTTTGTTTTTTTTTCAGTATCACTAGTAGATTGAATTTATTTTTTTGAGATATAGTAATATTATTGAATTGTGCGTCAATGGCGAACGCATTCAAACAAAACCTACTGACGAGAGTATAAATAATAATAAGAAGGTATAAACTATGTTAAGGCGATTCGTTTTCCGAAGCGCCATTAGGTTGAATGATTGGGCTTCTTATACTAAAAGATGCGCAAAATTAATTTGAAAAAAATCGGCAATCATGTCCTCTAGTTACTAGAGTCTAGTGAACATTACGAAAAAAATAAGGTTCTGAGCAAAGCTTAAAGTATCGAAATATCTCTACAATTTAGACTAACTAGTATATTAAGTAACATACAATTTAGTATTGTAATTTTACGGTTATTGTCAATAATACTTATACTTTACATTTTAATATACAATTTAACTTACATGAGTGATACTACTATTCCTCTGAGCTTTAAACAGTATTTTAGACTTTTAGACAACAACGTTACAAAGTTTTTTCAAATGTTTTTATAAAAATTTAAATAAAAGAACTTATTTTAAATGTGTAAATCTCATGTTTTAAAACAACATAAAACCTGAAAGCCCTGAAAAGTACAAACACATACTTATAAGACCATAATACTAAAAAAATATCCTAAAAATGCATAAAACAAAAAAAAGACGGAAATACCTGAACACTAAAATAAAATTTGGTTTATTATATTCTAAAGAATGAATTTCATCTATTGCTTCGTGAAAACTGATACAAAATATTAAATACATGTAGAATCTGAATTCTAATCATTACCTTAGTCTAAAGATAAAATTATTATATTATGAGTATTAAAAAGAAATTCATTATGCTGAAAAATATCAGTTTTATTTGTAACTTTTTCGGAGTTTTATATACTCTTGCATTTAGTTACATACAGAATAAGTTGACCCTTATTAGTTATTTTATCCTTTTGTAATGCATTTATTTACTACGACTTTTAGAATTTTTAAGTATACTTTAAGGCTGTATTTTTTTATTACTTATATTTTATATACTACTTAAGGAGCTTCTAATACAAACTATATTTTTATGCTATAACATTTTTCAACATTCGACAAGAAAACGACATTTTTGAAAAGTTGATGTATCTCAATCCAAAATTCATACCAGTAATTTCAATGTAATTATCTGCTGAAGTTAAATTTTTCTAATTTATGAAACTTACTGTAGTCAATCAATATTAATTATTATTATTTAAATATCATCACAGTCTCCATATATTTAAATCTATTTTATAATTAAGCAACTAGTATCCCTGGTTCATACAATTCAATAATTCAGGAACTATTCTTTCTTAAGTTTTCTTAATCTAAATGTCGACATATATTGTATTATAAGATGGTATATCATCATCACTTAAAAACATAAGCTTAATGGGTGATTCAAATTTAAAAAAAAAAATAAGTTTTTTAAGTCATTGCATTATGTGAGTATACACTATTTGTTAAATATGAAACACAATAATAATACAAACGATAATAATAATAAGAATAATAGCTGCGATTTGCGTGTTTTACGATAATAATGATATTTTTTATCGCCCTACGTTACACTTAAGACTAAACAGATACTAAATATCGCTTTTAAAATATTTTTTGACGGGTATTTCTTAACAGTTTAAAAGGTAAAAAGCTTCCCTGAAATTGTATTCAAAAATGCCAGGCATTATTTAGGTTTCAACACATTTATTAATATTTAAAAATATTGCAATTTATTTACTTTTTTTTTTTTTAATGTAAGAAACTTTAAAAATCTTACAATATTTATGTTTTTCCGTCAGATTTAATGTTTAAAACGTGTGTTCAGAAAACAAATTCAAAAATTGTGATGGCATTTATTACGACCAAATGTTGAGTAATTTATTTTGTCACAATTCAAACGTTCGGCTTACCATTCAGGCTGAGTTTGCATTACGTGTCATACTACCGTGAGCCGTTAGTAATATTTTAACAATACAATCAAGTTAGGATTTTTCTGTATAAAACTATGCTAACAATGGTCAATGGTATGCAATAAAATTAATTGCATAATAATAATATTACGTAATATAATAATATTCCCTCTTCATAACTTTCTTTAGGTAAGTGCAATAATAACAATTTTTTTGTTTTTAGTAGGTACATTATTGGTCACTATACCCAAACTTTTGATAAATAACTATTTTATATTATTAAAATAAATGATATTTTGTTAACATTAAAAAATAAATTATTTTAGTCATTGGATAAAAGTTTATATCTTTTTACTTAAATATAAAATAGGTACTATTAAAAATTAATTATTGATAAAATAAATAATATTTACTAAGTTCAAATTTATTTATTAAAAACGCTAAAATAAATTATCATTGACAGTGTTCATTAGAGCTCAACTGCGTTACATTAGTATGGAGCTTATATTACGTATTTACGTGTAACGTAATATTATTACTAAATTATAAAAAAAAAAAAACAATTACGAACTTAATTATATTTTTTGAAATTCAAAGGAGATATTTTCTTTGGATAAATCATAATATGAAACACTTTTCATACTATAGTAAAATAAAATTACATCTAGCTTAAGCTTATTAAGCTCGGAGTTAAAAGCTAATTTTCTTCACAATAGACCATTGTTTAACATTTTATTATACCTATATACTTGTCAGATATAATCAGGTACATGTGCACCCATGTGGGGAGTGCTGAAACCAAAAAAATAAAATTTTTTTTATGTGATTTATAAAATACATAAATAGTATTTGAATTTGTTCAATCCAAATTAGTATTAAGTTAGACTAATATTTTCATCACATAATAATTAGAATAATCTGGGTTGATTAATTAAATTAATGATAGTATAGTGTGATTATAACTATTTTAATAAATAAAAAACCATCTATAAGTTATATAAGTAGATATTTAACAAAAAACAATTTCAAATAAATTGGCGTACCAAGATTGCCTACTTATAACGCCGTGTGGTGATTGTTGTTTTAAAAAAAAATATTATATCGTTATTATACCTATAATGATCAATGGAAAAACAGACCTAATAGTATTACAAACAGTGTCTCATGTAAATTTTCTTCAAGTCTATTGTTATGCAATAATGTATTTAACTATTTACGGGACTATTGACTTTTTAATTTTGAGCGGAAGTGTACGAGATTTGGGTTAAACAAGTTTACTATATAAATATGTCAAAAGTTACTTTTAAGATGTGTTGACTAATTAACTTAGCAAGTTACTTTTACCACAATATAACCTAAATTTACCAAGTTATTATTCATAAAAGTTTGTATTATTATAATACGTAACATAATGTTTTCTGTTCTAATTGAAAAAAAAACAGTTATTTTTATCTTGATTTACTTAGAAACGGAACAATTTTTCTTAAAATAATATTAACATAATAATAAACTATGATATTTTGCTCAAATTTAACATTTTTCCTCCTCTTCAAGCTCAAATATTTGTTGGAAATTTGTTTATTTATTTTTATAAATATTTTAAAATTCACAAAAAAAATGAGTTGTGAAGGGCCATAGATTTCATTAAAAAATAAATATCAATAAAATCCATCAAAATTCTTTTGATTTCAATCTTGTCTTTATATTGTATGATGGGTCAATTTACTCTAATTTTTAACATTAAAACATATATTTTGAACATAACATGTGCTATGTCGTACGTCTGATAAACAGATTCAACTCATTATAGGCGTCCCTTTTTATAGAGATTTAATTAAATTTGCATAATAGGAAAAAACTATAACCTTAAAGTTTTAATCGATAGCTGAGTTTTAGTTGATTGCCGATTAATATTAAAATTAACCCATAGTTAATCTTGTACTTTAAACTCCTTGTATTTTCTGTACCGACATTTTAATCAGGTTTTTGATTTCAAAAAAAAATACAAAATATCAACCTTCGTATTTACTCTACTAATCATATATAATATTAAATGGACAAGGGAAAGAACAGCACATCTTAGCATAGAGGCACCTGCGTATGCATGGATGCTTGGTAATTGGCATGAATGTATTTAATTTTGCCCGTCTAACATGATTCGCCAGACTGGAATTGGTTTTTAACGTTGTTTTGAGGGATAAAGGTAAAATACGTACAAAATAGTATTGGATAGGTAACGTAAAAGTAAATCTCAGCTACCGTCATCGTTTAGACACAGACACATTAATACCGTCGTCTTTTCACACACGAACGAGAGAGAGAGATAGAGTGTGTGTGTATGTGTGTGTGTGTGTGTGTGTGTCACTTGTCTGCGTAAACCTTTACGTTTGTTTCTTTTACACCGCAAGTCGTTATTCCACCACCCATGTCGTCTTTTTAATCGGTTCTTTAAACTTCCGGTCGTCCGTGCGTATCCACCACCGCCGTCACATTGACGGTTTTATTTACGAGGGATCCTCCAAAGTATATATAGGTACATGTATATATTAAAGCAAACACGAGTGTATACGTATACATGTGCGATCCAGGGATTCTGATGAAAACGCTAGGAAGTCGGGATTTGTGCCGAAGGAAACGCAGTCACGCAAAACCGGAAAGGCATACTGATACAAACCTAAATACACACATTATTGACCCAATAATAATGGGGACATGTTTTGTGTATGTGACACGTGGCTGTAACAACGAATATAATGCGTTATAAATCAATATTACTGAGGCCGGACTAAGATTATTAGGCAACCCTAGGCTATAGGAGTGTTAGGGAAACTTTTTTTGAGGTTGACATTAAAATGCTTTTAAGTTCAACCACAAAAACAATCTCTTACGGTTATAAATAGGTAGTATAATTAGTGAAGAAAAAAAGGCATTTTTAATAATTGATGTACCCATTGAGTTATATACTAACCATACCTAACCTAACCTTTTTATGAGGCAACAAATAAAGTATGCTTAGATCTGGCTGTGATTTACATTTCATCAAAACCATAATATTTTATTTGTAACTCTTGAAACCAAAAAAAACATCGCTAAAATACAATCTACAAACGTTATGGAGATATATTATTTTAACTCTCCGTGCATAAATTTTCGAAATAAAATACCTTCAAAAGTGGTCGCTCAAGTCCGTACCGTCCCAGGAATGCGCCTTATATAAGTTTACGCCATTGTGAGTACGCTGCTGGTACATAACAATATATCCTCAGATAACATTATATTTATGTGTGGATAGCGTACCTATACATTATACCGAATATACCGAACGGGTACCTGCTGTATATTATTATCTATAACCGCGATGTTGCATAATATTTGCGCTTGAATAAACACGCAGCCGGTGGTCGTGTCAGCATTGCCACCTGTTTGTCTATAATATATTATTATTATATAGTAATACTATTATCATATTATATTATATAATATACATACATAATAATATACGCTAGTTTATACTAATTTAGATCGCTATTCGAAAAGTCCCCCTCGTCTCCAAACACAGCGGCGGCGTTGAAAATTAAACCCTCTACTACCCTGTAATATAATAATAATAATAATAATAATAATGCAAGTAATCATGTGATATGCTCGTACCCGTAAAATAATCGGGCGTATGCGATCGGCGGTTATGATGAAGCTCTACTGAAACTGTCCGCTGCACCACACCAAGGGATTTCCCTGCGGACGCCCACCCCCCCTCCAACGCCATTTACAATCCTGCAGAAATGTGTGGCCGCATCCTATCGTAAACCAACCCCTAACCCCGTCCCTCTCTCGTAACCACCAGACTACCAGGTATATGGGCGCGGGTTCCCGGCCAAAGGATTTCCTGATAGTGTTACCAAGTATGACAACTGTATGTAGTTGAAACTGTCTGTACTTACGCCCGACCGTCTGTCGTTCATGATGACGTGTCGATGATGGTAGGTTCGTGAGTGATAGAAATTCAATATAATATTATAATATTATTGAAAAAAACTAATATTGCATTAAAAATTGCATTTAATACCATTGTACCATAGTACCAGCGCAGTGGTATTTAGTAGATTCTCTTAAAATAGGCTCGACCGTAGTGTGCAGACAACGAACCGGGGCGAAAAGGACCAAGGAAAAAAAAACAATTTTTAAAAATTAAAATTAAAATACTAATTGACTATGAAAATTAAAAATTGCATATATTTGTAATTATAGTGTAAAGTGATCCACTTATTATGTGCACATTTAAAAAATTAAAAATATGAAATGAATCACTCAAATAAAATCATAAAAGTATGAAAGGTCTATGGGAATTTCCAGTAATAAACAGTTATTTTATATATTTTACCAATAATACCCATTAGTAACATTTCATGATAAAGTATGAAAGGTCACTTATAAGGTCACTATGAACGTTACATAGGGTCATAGGGAATTTCCAGTACTAAAGTTACATATTTTACTTTAGTACGGCACAATCGAAAAATTTAAGTCTAATCATTATTTTTGTGTGGGTAAGCATTTCCATTGAATAAAGTGTTCATTTTTTAGCAGTATAACTTGAATGGGAAATCATCTCACGAATAAAGAGTGCGTATGAAAATAAATACAAAATATTTCTTAAAATATTTTTAACGGAAACGACACAATATTTTAAAGACTAATTTTGAAATATGAAACTGTGAGAGACTAAAAATACGTCTTAGTAAGAAGTACTAAGCCGGGATTGAAAACATTTCAAATATTTTTTTCGCTCCCGCTTATTGTCACGAGAGAAGATTTACCTGCACCTGACACCGGAAAATACGTGATAGGCAGTAAGAGTAGTAATAATAATAATAATAATAATAATATTATTATGCCGACCGTCTCTCGCCATAATAACATGATATACAGTATTAATGTCTGCATCGAATTGCCATTATTAACCGATGACGGCGACGTCCATCGTCTGACCGTTCACTATAATATAACACCGTTGTTGCCGTATACAGTTCGATTCAAGTATACTATTATGCTAACGAATCCCCGAAGACCCCGAGGGTCGAACGACTTATTTCCGGTGTCACGGGTGACACCACTTTCCGGTCGAGAACAATGCGCACGCCTTTAGGTATACACTTAAAATGCCTTTACCGCCTTACCCCTACGCCATCCCACTTGATATTTTCACATGCGCGCATGCACCGTGTGTACAATAAAGGATGTTCCTGTTGCGTGGCCAACAGTCGCAAAGGAATTATAGTGCTTATAGAAAAACGGGTAGTTTCTGTCATAGTTGCACTTATTTTACCACGTACACCCTCCTGAAGATAACAATTTTTGCCAGATTTTATGACTGGCTCGTTCTTACGGTATCGTTGAGTTTTGTCAAGAGAGACTACAAAAAAATTACATAGTATGTCGATCACCACTACCTTAAGCACTCCAGTTTAAATCTAGTAGTGTAATTTTAATTTGTCAAAAAAAAAAAAATAATAATCATAATATAGGTGTCAACAATATATTATATTTACCGTTTTATTATAATACTCGAATGTATCTGGTTTATATATATTTTTTTTTTTTATTCTGATACATTAAAAACTTTAACATATTTCAAAAATCTTATTAATCTGCAGCGTACAAGGCATTCATTAAATCCTGCACTAAAAGCAATTAATATTAAAACGTACGGTTAATAATTTTGCTCGAAAAGTGTACAAGTTTCACTGTTGAAACTACCGTACAGAATAAGTGTTAATAAATTCATATTATGCCATTATAACCACTAAATTTCTGTGTGAAACTTTACTTTCAAAATGTTTAAATCAATATTCGAATAAGAAAGAACCTATTTTTAAAAATCTATTAAATTAAAGCGCTTTAAATTTTTCTATACAAAAACAAAGAGTAAATTACGTTAGTATCTATTTTTGGTTAGCAATAATAAGTTACGTGACATTTAAGAATTTGCAACATGACATGATAATATAAAAAAGTGAGGCTATACAAACAAATTCCATCGTATGTATGATACCCGTTACCTTAAGCACTTCATTAAAAAGCTAGTATATTGACGTGGTACAGTTATTATGATTTTTTAATAAAGAATAATATAGGTATTAAATCACCACATGGGGTGCCGCCAATGCGTGACATTCGCTTCCCGTCAATTAAATCTCATCAAATGTACTTATTACATAACCTGTAAATACAGATTGAAACGTAATAAATTTTGTTTAAAAAAAAAAAAAGTTATATCACTAATTTACAGACCATCAATAATGACTGTACTTAGTATTATACATTTCTGATTCCAAAAATATGCTTAAGACTGAATACATTCAAAACTAAGACATTTATCTAAGATCGAAGAAATTATCCTTCACTTGGGCCAATTCATTGTAAACATACGTTTTAAACGTACAAGTTTTGATACTGAACCTTTTGCAAAATGATATGTTGTTAACAAATTCCTAATACTCCATTATAACTCCTAAACGTCCATGTGAAACTTTACATTTAAAATGTTTAAATGAATTTGCAAAAAAGAATGAAATTTTGTTTATAACTTATAAGGCTTTCAATATAACATGAAATCAAAAAAAAATTTAAGTGTACATTATTAATGATTTATTGTGTAGACGCCCGTAAAATAGATTTATGTAACACAAATGTGTGTACGATAAAGGCGCATAATTTTAACATTATATTTCTGTTAGTGTGCTTATATTCAATTATAATGTTATGCAAGTAATAAAATAATAATAATAGATAACGATGGAGTTTGCAATCTAACTTCGGACTTCTCTGATATAATACTAATCATAATACCTATTGTGTATCGTAGCATTGTAAAATTTTCAACTTATGATTTTTTGAATGAAAGCCAAACAATAATATTATTATTTGTTGATAATTTCAGTGATTGGCGTAAATGGAATTGGACGGTCGGGAAACTGGCAGCACCCTGCGGGCCAACAGCTAGGGTACAGCTCGGCACGGGTCCGTCTCTACTGCCAGGCAAAGTGAAATATACTGGCTCTGACAGGTAAAAAAAATTAAGTATAAAGTTTTTACAACCAGAAAAAAAATAAACGCTCAATGAATACCTTTCCTACTATCTCAACATTTAGCGTAGGTACCTATCTGTACATTATAATATAATAATATTATTAGTATGTACTTCCCTTGTCAGTGTCGAAACCAGGGAATGTTTCTAGGTACTACCTCGCTTTGTCCCCTTTTTATTTCGTTCTTCAAATATCTATATTAAATTTAAAAAAAAAATCATAATATTACTATCATAGAACTTTGTATTAGTGGTATTATTTGGTAATATTATTATTTTACCTACAGTGATCAAATATACACATATTATGTTTGCATGTTTGCATAATAGAGCATATTATTTTGATATATTCTGTAAAAACGAATTTTAGTAACATCAAAGTTAGCACTAGATCCTGTTTATACTGCTTATAGTGACTTCGATAATTATAATTATATAATAACATTATTAGTCAATTTATTATCCACAAGTTACATTAAAAAATTTCAGATTCTGCAGTAATTAAACTATTTTCCAGATATTATCCCGAGTTTTGGCTGTTTAAACTTACTCACTTACTTATTGTAATTCAGAAAATATTAAACTAAGACTACGTTTATCCTATAATTAAGTTCTCAGTAAAATGTTACAATCTGTATGTATAAAGTTAATAAATTATTGTTGTGACTTTCTCATTTCAAAATTTGGTCTCTACTCTAACGTCGATATTATTACAAATATCAAACACTTTGATTGTTTTTCACTATTCTAAGACGTATTTTATTATTTTATTTAAATTTAACCCTACAAATCACTGATACGTCGATATATTTTCTAGTAATCGTAAAAGCGTAGTAAGCTTAAACAAATATTATATAATATAATATAATATTACCATAGGTAAAAAAGTGTATAATAAATTCGCACCCACCTACAAGTCTGAATCCCATACATTAATATATAAGTGAATAGGCGCCTATAGAAAGTTATTTTCATTTGAATTATTACCTACCTATAGGTACTACCACCGATAACCAAATGTATACAGGGACATATCTTGTAATGCTTGCTGTATTGTTCGGTATTATACTTTTATGCCAAGAGGTATTTATGGTCGTGAGAAATAAAAAAAAAAAGAGAAAAGAGCAGAAAATCCATTACTTAGGATTTGCAGTAGCCCGAGCTTAACTCGTACAAAGATCGACCGCCGCCGCGAGAATATATTACGCGAAAGGTAGTCAAACAACTACTCGTCTCGTCCCGCCACGACGGCCTTCCGTTAATTAATAAAGTTCGTCGTTAATTTATTTATTGGCCATCGGAAACTTTCGACCCGGTGACATTCGCGCGTGGTCCGCTCAGGGAAGAAAATAATAATAATAATAATAATAATAATAATACGGCCTTTGACGTGTAGGACGACGTTCAAACGGCCAGTCGGGCACGTGCGTATATTGTTCGAAAACGGTGACAATGTTTCGTTGCACGAACTCGATTAAACGACGACCACCGTAGAAACACACAATCCAGTTATCGCCAAAAACTTTCGGCTCGACCGCAACGGCTTTTTGTACCTTTGCGTTAAACACGACGTTTACAATATGATACATTGTCCTCGACCCGCACCGTATATTATATTGTATATTTGGGTTAACGTATTATTATAATATAATGGTATTGACTCAAATGCGTAAACCTGCAACTTTTTACCGACCGACGTCTTTCAGAGATGGCAAGAGAAAAAAAATATGACGACGCACATAAATCTGACACGTCTTTGAATGGTTTGTCGATATTAGATTGTTGTGACTTATTTTTAAAGCAAATCACTTTACACGATTTCATATAGGTAATTGAGTTAAAGAATTAATTATGTCTGTATTATCGGTTAGTGAGACATAAATTGACTAATATTAATTATTAATAATAATAATTATTTATTGAAAATTTAAAAAAAAAACGGTTGTTGTTAAAAACTCAAAGAAAAAAGTGTTGGCTTAAAAAGTCCACAGACAGGTTAGATTAAACCAATAACATTAAACTATTATGTAACTTTTTTCAGTATTTCTAACATTTTCAAAAATCTCTATGACATCTAATTCTCACTATACATAGGTATATAGGTTACAACATTTTAAAATTTTAATTTTGTACCCATCTCTATATTATATCGTTTCGATATTTGAATATTTCTAATGACTATATATTGAAGTGGGGGCTAAATTGTTTAGCCTATATATGCAATATGCATATTAATGTTCCCATACAACTTAATTGAGTCATTTGATTTTTCATTAGAGAGAAGTAAGAGTAGATAGGTAACAAAATGTTGTATCAATGTAATTTATCACTAGAAATATTTTTCATTAATTGTTTTTACAATTATTATGATTAAACAATTTTAGTTAATACACACGGATGATTTACCTGAATCACGAACTGTGTGTCTTTTGACTAATGCTTTTTTGTATTTTGATACAGAGAAATTGTAGACATGTCCCCTAATTAGTTCACCATAATATATTTATATATAATCGTCTCATGCTCTTATCACACAAAAAATGGTCATGATTTAACTGCGATATTTTGTCATACCTATGCACTGTAAAATATTTTTTACTAAAAATTGTTTTTGGTTTATCAGTGTGACTTTCTGAGTGTGTGTAGATTAAAAATAACGTCCGCAATGTTCGTAAATATGACAATATCGCATAGGGTAAGTATATAGCACGACCCAACGACCCAGTAGTCGCAGCTAAAGGTTTATGCAACGCATGGATACCTGCTCAAAATGTTTATGCCCGATGAATTGGGTGAATGAAAAAAATGGCGTGGAATCGATATATACCACAATGTGGTTCAAATTTTAAATCCAAAACTACAATAAAAATATCAATATAACAATAAACGAAGTTTTTCCGATCAGAAATAAATACTTAATAATGAAAGTGAAAGCCTACGGAAAGTCTTGGCAAAAAGCCGAGAGGCATAAGGCCAAGAGTTCTACAAAAGCCAATGAAAAATACACCATAATATTTACAAAGAACAAAAACTTTACTTCCGCCAAAAATCGAAATTACCTACATAAGACATAAATCTTTATAAATTTAATGGTCAAATATTGTACTGTAGTTATTGGTTGCTATATATTGATTATAATATAATAGTGGCTTTCAGTGGTTATAATAGGTATTCAACAAAAATGCAAAGATTGTTTTAAAAATATATTCGAATTCGTATATTATAAGAACTGTTTATACTATAATAAACGTACAACGGTAATATCTTGTACAATATCTGATTGATGTCGTACAACGTATATAATAATTTTTGCATTAGTTAAATTAAAGAGCACAGGTGCTTTTCAATTAATAACTTTTACTAGAAGTAAGAAATTTTATAGGTTCCTTCTTTGGTACTCGCAAACGTAAGATTATAAATTAAAATCAAATATACTTCATGTGCATATAACATATTCAGAACTTTTTCGATTGGTCCATTATTTATTTATTTTATGTGAAGGGTGTTTATTACGTTTTGATTTAATTTTTCAATCGTTCGATTTTTTGATTTTCAACTTAATATTAATTGTATTTCATTCAACAGCCGTAATCATTGTGCGAATAATAATAACAACCACAATAAGGTAGACAGTTAAGATTAAAATTAAATTAATTATATATTATTTCAAATTGAAAAACGATGATATTTAATTTATAAACGTATGCTATTAACTTTTATATTTTAATTTTAAAACGAAACTGTGCACATTTAAATTAATGATGTATACAATTATACAAAACATTATATTTTATTACACCTCGGCTTTCTAATTAAAGAATTTGTTATAAATAGCATAAGTTCATAAATTAGTTCTCCTCTTTCAATTTCATAGGAAATAATTAATGATATTACGGTTTAAATCATAGCTATCCTCAGAATCGGAAATACAATTAAGATTTTATACTTACTCTTTAGTATCTGTAATACGAGAAAAATAGAGAAAAAAGAACACGAAAATAGAGATGGGTAGTAGGTACATTTAAGTACATTAGTATTCGTTATATTTAATTCCAACAATTATTAATGTATAGCGAAGACAAGATATTTATCCAAATAAACTCAATGTTTTTCTAAATTTCATCATAACGTATACAAAGTTTACATTTATTTCTTTTTTAAAAACTATCTATTTCTTATAATCACATTTTTTGAAAATTCTTTAACTTTAAAGCTCTTATCATATTGTTTATTTAAGAATCTCTGTATTCGCATTATGAATTGATGAACCTGTCAGGTGTATGTTACTGAAATATGCATGAGCAATAATACATTAATACCATTATCGTGTTGATAATTTGAAACACAAAAACATTGTCAACAAACATCGTGTCAATGTCCATTGTTCATCTAACAGCCTGAATAATTTATAAATATTACAATAAGTTCTTCTCGCATTGCGCACACACAACAAGGCTCATATACCATAGGATTATCAAGTCCTAAGTGAAAACATTTATACACCAAACATAATGGATAATATTTTACAATAAGAAAAATGAAACAATAAAGTGTGAAAGTTGGCAACCGATCTGTTGTACTGTTTTAAGTAATGAGTGATCAGTGATCAGTCGTCATTGAGGAGTAAGTCATTGTGATGTATGTGCTTAATTTCGAATTGAATAATATTTAATAAACAATTTGATGCGAAAAAACGATTTTGAGAGAAGACAGCTTATATTTATAATCCTAAGTATATTTAATGACATATTTCTATTTCTATTGAAATAATTTGTTCTCCTTTATCATTTATTTATTTACTTTTAGTAATAAGGTAGGTTGAATTCATTTTTTCTGAAAACATTGGATTTGAAAATTGCATTGTGTGTACGAAATATTATAAAATACGTTAAAAGTTTCAAGTTCCCTCTCAAATAATATTTTTAAATTTTAACCAAATTATACATTCATCTGTTTTTGTCTGTAATGCGCATGCATAC